GAGTAACTATCACTCACCTCGCCTCTACCACACGTACCAGGAGTACATCCCCATGACCCAGTACAGCCGCCGCAGTTGGCAACGGTGGCTGTAGACTGCTGACGCTGCATCACCTGGAACCTGACCCTCCCGAAAACCCCCGTCGTCACCGGCGCTGGGTCCCGCGACCGCGGCCGGCGGCCGACATGCCGGGCCGGACGTCGGCCCCGCCTCGTCTATGGCGGCCGCCGAGCTCGGCTACGCGTGCAGGGGCGAGCCTCGCCCCCCGGCTGAGCCCCTGCCAAGGTGAGGGTGGTGGCCGGCACGCTCCAAAGACAACAGCGCCTGACTCATAGGTGATTTGGCGGCCCAGCCAGCGCCGCCACCTGCGTGCCCGCCGTGTGTGCAGGAGGGGAGGGGGGGGGGGGGACGCAGCCGACGGACGAGCGCGACGCGCCTGGCTGCTGCGCTGTTGAGCAAGATTTCTGCCAATTTGCGCTGCCGGAAATATGTTTTTTTTTCATCGCTTACTAGGCAAGTATTGGATTGGTCGACCCGAAAAAGGTCGCCCATTCAACTAGCGGCGGAAGCACGGCGGAGGATACAGATGACAGATGAACATGTGTCGGATATTTCACAGTATTTGACGCGGAGAGATGGAACAAATCGTGCCGAACTGCGCGTGAGATCTCTTTGAAGGACCTCTTTGAATTGTGAAAATGTGTCTCCTCGAATCATAGCAACGCGTCGGGAACCTGTCTGGCGTCGAATGCAGGGGGCTGTTCTGGAAATTAGCAACGTTGTCTTGTAGCTTATAGCGGAAGGTGGACAGTTATCTTCATTTGTGCCCTACAGTTTCGTAATCCACAAGCCCCCGAAGATGGCAATAAAAAGGTTGCACATCATAAAGTGCATGGCCATGGCTCTTCATTTTAGACCAAACTCACAAACTTGTCTGGGCCATGGCAACAACACAACCCTGCTGGCACGTCTGCCCATCTCACCCCGAAACAGCCCTGGACCGGCCACCTGCCTGACAAGTTCGCCTGGTCTAATTCTGGCAGCATGTTTTGGTTCGCGTGGCTGCATCTGCCAACTCGGCGACCGCACGTCCTTCAGGCGGACGACTCGGTGATAAACGCCTGCAACTCTTGCGGTCGTCAGTCACGCTGCTGGCGCGCCGGGCGATCCGGCGCCGGCACTGGTGCTCTACAACGACGGCTTGCTGATAACCACAGACATGTTGGGCTGGGCGCAGAGGTCGCCGACGCGCAGCATGGTGACAGACAGCTGTGGCGCGCGTGCACAGTGCGGGCTGTTTTGGTGGGCGGAGTAGACTTAAGTTTCACCGTCACGGACTGCGTTTGGTGTGGTGCTTGGGTGGAAAGGTACCACCAGGATAACCAATCCAAACAAAGAAAGATTGGTAAGCTATCACAGAAAGCTGATAATGACTGACACAAGCATACTCGGATATGCATCCATGAACTACACTTACAAGGGAGCGCAGTTTCCTCCCTCCTAATCTTCGGAACCAAAGGGCGATTTTCTCTATTAAAAATGTAATGCATGGGCTTGGATCGAACTTCCCAGATATAATTTGGATAGGCTGAATGTCATATATGACTTCACAAGGTAGATCAAGTGAAAGGTTTTGAGATAGCTGCGATCACTCGGCGTCGGTGTGCCAACGGCCGGTTTGGGAGAGAACGGCTTTTGGAACGCTGGCTGGCTAGGCTAAGCAAGTCAGCTGTAGCGGGAGAATGGCGCCGCATCACTCCATGCATCTGCAGGCGAGAAATCAAGGTGTTCCAAAGAACAATGCAAGCGTACGAGTACAGACGTGTCGTCATTGAAAACCGGCAGGGAGGCCACACATTGGTATCGTCTTGACGTCGCCGTCAGATGGCAGGTGCGATCCGTCAAATGACAGGTGAGAGCAAAAGATCGCAGTAAACTACCGTCAGATGGCAAGTGAGAGCTGTCAGATGGCACGGGCTAACATAGCGCAAGCGAAATATCAGGTATCGACGCTGGGTCCCAGCAACTAGAGCGTGTGGAGGAATGAAGCGTATGGAAAATCAGATGTGACAATATCGGAGAGTGATTCGGGTGTTGTATGCGCTGTGGAAGTTGTTGAGTAAGGGGCATGATGGCAACTTACTTGGAGGTCTGTGGGCTAATAGGTCAGTGTAAAGTTGGCAAATCGTTGGTAGCCTACACACTTGTACAGCCCAGGTTGGATCAGTTATCTGGATCAACTAACGGGACGCCAGATTGCCGTAACGGGGGGGGGGGGGGGGTCACAGGGCCGCAGATGTATGGTCCAGCTGCTGCCGACATTAAGTTAGACCCAAAAAGGTCCCGCGTTGCATGAACAGGTATGTACTAAAGCGGTGGTCTGAAACTTCGCGGTTCGCTGCTGCAGATAGAGTGGGTGATGTCTCCTTACAGTGTGACGTCACCCACAGTCGATATGGTAGCGTCATTTTGCTATTGCGGAACCTGCCACAGACAACGAACTGAAAAGTAACAGTGGGAGTTTGACTTTAAAGATGATTATGGACTTTCTGGTAATATCAGCCTAGGAACAATATTTTACAGGTGGGTGAAGTCACGGGGAAAGCTCCTCCATGACATTTGGAGATATACTGCCAGCGTGAAGGCACTTTCTATTTTACGCCTTGTCAGAAACAGGGCAGTGAATTGGCGTGTAGGATGCAAGTGTTAACCATTTACATCGCACTTCTCCTGGGGACCGGTGCGGTCACCAGGACATGAGACGGGCCGGTTGGCTGCGGCTGGTCGAAGATGCTCACCATAATTTACTTGCACCATGCAGCATTAAGAATATTACCACCGTAGGTAACGAGACAAAAACTTCTCACCCCATTTGACAGCTGGATGGAGTGAGGACTAGCCATCATTTTTCAACGTAAAGCACATTGCTTTTCTTAGAAATGCTTTCTATTTCCTTTTCCATTTCCACTGCTGGGACCAACATCAGAGTTGACGCCAAAACTATTAAAAATGTTGGGTCCGCTGTGATTTTTCAGCAAAGCTAGTATAAGGAATAACCTGCTTGCTAAATCTGATATGCATATCTATATATATATATATATATATATATCTATATATCATAAATCTGCTTGCTAAATCAATATATGCATATATATATATATATATATATATATATATATACATATGTATATATACGATGTGCTGATGCACCAGGGACATTTGTTGCACGAGATCGAGCATTTCTTTTAATGAGTTAAACATGGGGATAAGTGAGCATATGTATAAATAAGGTACGTTGCAATACACCATTACATACACCAACACAAGACAATGTGTTCTCCGTTGTGTTTGGTTAAGACTAAACAGCCCCAGAAGCTGAAGCCATGCATAGAGTCACATCACAATCCACCAAAGCGATCTTGTGCTCAGTGTCACATCACAACCCACCAAAGCGATCTTGTGCTCAGTGTCACATCACAATCCACCAAAGCGATCTTGTGCTCAGTGTCACATCACAATCCACCAAAGCGATCTTGTGCGCAGTGTCACATCACAATCCACCAAAGCGATCTTGTGCGCAGTGAAAATAGTCATGGTTAGTACCTCGTAATAGTCACTGTGCTGACCAGATTTTAAACCCAGAAAATATAGCAGAGGTGATTGGATCTCCCGGCAGTTCATGCGGCTAAGTGGCCGAATGTTTACACCTCTGAACTTGCAGGTTAATCGATGGGCCGTGATTTGGCGTTGAATTGAAAAGATGACGTCAGAGAAGCGCCGTACGGCTTATGGTCTGTGTGAGAGCGGCCCGCACCCACGTGAAAACTACAACCTCCAACTTACAGAGCGGAGCATCGGAGATACAACTTACAACCAACTTACAGAGCGGAGCATCGGAGATATGCCGCACGGGCCGCGGGGCTCAGCTGGCACGCGCCAGTCTGCTCTGTAGACTTCCCTGTTACTGCATGCTAATAATATGCATGCATGAGGGACTTGCATCGAGGAGCAGCCTCGCATGCATGGCCGACGCTGATCTGCTGATCAAGGCGAGCCAACAAGACTTGGGCGTCGTTTGTGTTGAATTGGAGAGATCAATAGAGATCTTCGACCGTGCGAGGTGTTCAGAACTGACTTGACTGCGGTGATCGTCGAAGTTTGTTATGGTGGCCTTGTGTTCTACACACCAGGTGTTTCGCGCGTGCCAGCCTTATGACACCATGGCGAGGAATTTACGGGTAAAGAATCAAAACCGCCGACTTTAGATTACGTCACTATCAAGGAGCTCAGGAGCATGATCGCTGTAAAAAGCTTTTAAGATATCACTCGCATAATTATTGTTTATGAACAACAAATAGTAATGTAAATAATACCTGCAATCGCCATACTCAGAATGTGATACTGCACTCATATTAGAAGATTTTAATGATATAGACTCATGGGGCAAAACCTGGGAACCATTTTTAGCTCCTGCAGTCGGGCTAGCTGGGTGAAGGGATCGCTAGTTGGCGATCCCTTCACCATGCATCTCATCCTGTGCGTTCCAGCGTGTGTTTGATCTGTCGGCTTCGATTATCGAGGCGGGCCACCTGATTACCCTAGGAAAGCTCAAAGGCGCTCATTTTAAAGACTATCAAATCGGTCAGAGCGTAATCACACAGGAGCGCGGTCCACAGCCAGCTACATCACTTTAGAAGCGCGTGACTCGTGGCGCGTCACGCGTGTACGCTGCGCCACGGCGCTCCATTGAGATCCCAGTGACGTCACGCATCCGGCGCAGGCCGTGACGTGGCCTTCCCCTATGACACAGCGAGCTAAATCCGCCCCGCCGCCAGCCTGCGTCGATCAGAAGCGGCCGCCGCCGGCGCCAGCGTCGCCGGCAATATTTGGATTCGTTGACGAGCGGCTGACTTTGGCAGCTGGTGCGTCGGCTGACCTGGTACGTGGGTGCCGGCGGCGGGCTGGGCCCTGCTCGCTCGGCGCGCGTGAGCCAGAGACGGGCTGGGGCTGCCAGGTGGCGGTGCATCGGACGGGCAAGAGGGATCTGCAGCATCCGGCAGAGGTAGGCATCGGCGGCGCTCTTGGACCCCAAACCCATAGTGGTGCTGGGTGGCATCAGTGGTACTCCTGGGTCCTACGCCCTTGGTGGTGACGGGTAGCATCGCTGGCACTCTTGGGTCCCCTGCCCTTGGTGGTGCTTGGTGTGTATTTTGATGTAACAGCTGTATATGAAATTTAGGGGCGCGCGTAAAACACATCTCCCAGCTGCATTGAAGTAATTCCTGAGCTTGCGTATACTTGAGTAACGCTAGGTTTGAGGCGTTACAAAACGTTTGGAAGTAACGATCATTAGTTATGGACTGAAAAGAAAGAATGGGCGTTGCCCCCTGTAAGTGCAACATTCCTTGACGATAAGGGGCTGCTTGCATATGGCACGGCGACAATCGATCCACTCCATCCGTCCACAATGGCGTTTTGACGCAAACGCAAATCTACTTTTGGTTATATGAAGTCATGAAATTGTTCATTCTGGCACAATTAATCGGCACAGAATTACCCGCCTGTCACGCTCAAGCGAACAAACCAGTAACTCTTTCCGCTGTCTGGTGCGTAAATTATCGCCGAGCATTGAACCGGCAAACTAGACCTTTGCACTGCGAGTCAGATTCATATACAGTTAACATAGCGTTGGCTCTGCCGCAGAGGTAAAATGGTTATCGCACTGTTCTCATACTGGCGCCACACGCCTGGAGAAGCGTTGGCACTTGGCTCAAAGCCCAACATAATGTGCTATCTCACGGAGCAGTTGTAAAACATGTGATTGGGCCGGCGCCCGCTCCAGGAAACAAGCTTGGCTTTTTCCTGACATGACACATCCGCTGACAGTGACTTACAGGCGCAGATGCGCCCAGCGCGTTTGGGGGATGCTGTCATGGCGCTCAAACTGCGCGCTGCTGACGACAGCCCCAGACCAACCGTGCTTGATGGTGACAGCCCCAGGCCAGCCGTGCCTGATGGCGACAGCCCCAGACCAACGTGCTTGATGGCGACAGCCCCAGACCAACCGTGCTTGATGGCGACGTCTGACCGTGGGATTTGCCTTCCATGGGCTAGATAATCCCGAGCCCCTGCGACGTCGGTGGGCCGTGGGCTTTACCCTCTGTGAGCTTACGACAGTGACTCGTCGGCTAGACCCCACCCGAGCCTCTGTGACGTCAGTGGGCCGTGGGCTTTACCTTCCGTGAGCTTCGACAGTGAATCGCGGGCTAGACCCTACCCAGGCCTCTGTGACGTCAGTGGGCCGTGGGCAGATTCAGTCACTCTGTAGGCGGATCCGGGACCCGGCTGGGCCTCTGTGGCGACGGTCGGCTGAGTTAGTCAGCTCTTTAAGCAGGTCGTGTTTTGACGGTGGGAATGTTTTCGGGCGCGGACGTGCGTCATGGGCGCAGGCAGGCGATCCCAGCCGAGGCATCCATTACAGGGGGCACATTGGGCACAGGCAGGCGATCCCAGCCATAACATGCATTACAGGGGGCACATCGGGCGCAGACAGGTGATCCCAGTCGCGACAGCCATTGCAGGGGCCGGGGGTACCTAATCTAGGTGCAGCTTTCCAATGTCCGGGTCGAATGGCCCCGGTCAATGTCGTCAATGAATGGAAATGGCGGACTAGTTTTGGATGCCGTTTTGGAGAAGCCGGTGTGGAGTAACCAAGCTGATAACCAGGATCCTCCATCTCTAGCTGGCTTAACTCGCAGCGAACTGGCAGGCGGACGCCTTAACTCACAGCGGACTGGCTGGCGGACGCCTTAAAAAGACTAGGAGAAGCCATCTGGGCTGCTGAGCTGGTCTCGGGCTGAGCTTCCCCGACCTTAATCCATCTGATCCAGCACGTTCAAATTCATGCTGCCATTCAGCCTGCCGTTTTCCAAGTTCTGAATCCGATCCGATTGATCCCATCAGCCGTCGCCGTTGAGGGAGCGCCTGCCGACAGAGCCCGCCGCGCCCCGCATCACCGCACGTCCCGCCGTTGAGGGAGCGCCTGCCGACAGAGCCCGCCGCGCCCTGCATCACCGCACGTCCCGCCGTTGAGGGAGCGCCTGCCGGCAGAGTCCGCCGCGCCCTGCATCACCGCACGCCCTCTGTCTCGCAGGCGGGGCGAGCGAACAGGATGGCGTCGACCACCAGCTCCCAGTACCGGCATCAGGAGAGAAGTGTCACCGGCCGGCCCGGCAGGCCGGAAAACTGGGATCAGCAGCTCGGTAAGCCGGTGGCGGAAGTGGCAGGTCACGGCAGGCCACCGGGCGCGCGGTGGCCTGCCGTGACCTGCACACCGGGCGCGCGGGTGGGGACCGGTGGTCATGGCCGCGGCACGCGCCTGTAAGAAGCCAACGGCCGCAGGGATAATCTGTGCTCGAGGCGGTGCTTATCAGGCTTAGCGATTTTTAAAAGTTTTCGGTGACAGCATGCTTCTGCATCTACGACTGCAGACGGTGGTGTTGTGTTATGCAAAAGCAGCGGTGAAAGCATGTGATAAAAGGTTAGATCTGCTGTGACACATGTAAAAATGAACTATTCGTTTCTGAAAACTGTGCATGAAAATAAACTGACTGAAAACTTCGCTTTGGCTCACACATGGTTCATGGAGCGTTTCCATATCTTTGCCCATGAAACAATTTGTTTGGGAATATAGGGGAATGTTGGGAAAATTTGGGAAAACCCAAGCTTTGCAAACTGGACTAAAAATTATTGTGGATTTTCCAAGGTTTTTCGATTGAGCTCCTGCTATCACTATCACTTGGCTATCACCGGCTATCACTTGGAGAAATTTTAGGTTTTCTTAAATTTTCTTCCTTGACCGTCGTATTTGGGATTTTGCCTGATGAGGCCATTCTTCAGTGCGCAATCGCCATAGGCAGTTCTGGGAGCGCTTGGAATTCCCTGACGGACATTTGGGGGAAAGGCTTTGGGATCAGATCAGATCAGATCAGAGCACCATTGGGATCAGACATGTTTCAGGGTGGAGTCGCCATAGGCCGCTTGGTGAGCTCACCGGACACCCCGGTTGAGGACCCGACGCTCGAACACCCGACCCGGCCTTCCGAAAATAAAAAGGAAACAGTCTGGAATAGGTTGGCGATCCCTTTGCCAATATCTTGACAAACTTCTGGAGCTTTCCCAAGCATTTCTCAACTGGAAAGGTCGGAGCCGATAGGGATACCTCGAGTGAGATCGAACCAAAACTGCTTGCTGAGTAATATCTGGAAATCTGTTCGCAACAGCCACACACGCAGCACCCACCAGTCCCTGCAGTCGCATAAGTAGCACGATCCGGCCGGTCTGCCGTTGCAGACACACTGCTGTCGGACCTGAACGAGAGCACGGGGCCGGGGCAGGGCGGCGGCCCGCCGGCCCGCGGCGGCGCCCCCGTCCAGGGCGGCGCGCTGCCAGGCTCGGAGGACTTTCACGAGCGCTGCGAGTACACCAGCCCCGATCAGCGCACGCGTACGGTGGAGGAGCGCAGCCAGCGCACGGCGCGCGCTGGCGACGGCGTGAGTTTGCCGTCGACTCCGACGGAACCAGGCGTCGAACTCGACGCTGGCGGCGTGTCGGCTCACCGCCCGCCGGCCGCCCCAGGTGTTGTTGCACGTCCGTAATGTCAATGTTGATGAGCACGTGGTGGGATTTAGCACTGATGGCAGTGAGGTCATATAACGCGTAGTAGCGCCTTGGGTGGTAGCGATGTGCTGGCGGGGCACTTGTCGTACATCGTGTTGGAACTAAAAGCGCCGATGATGACGGGTTCACAGCAGGTGCAGCATGATCACCTGGCCGGGTTCACACTATGCGTCATGACGGCTCATTAGCCCTGGCTGCCCCAATGCTCCTGCGTCGTGTTGACCTCCACTGTAAGCTAGGTTCGGGTGGGCCGGCGGAGCCTGACCTGTGCTGACCTCTTTCCAGAGACAGATGGTCGCCAGACAGATGTACAAGTCTTCTCACTCTAGCAGCACCGGCCAACTGGCGGTCCTCCCCCCAGGTGAGCAGTAAACAACAGAGTGTCCTTGATTAAGGTATTTGACCTGCGTGGTAGCTTGTGCTGCCAGCGGTTGCAATGTTTGATAGTTGTGAACGCAAGGTATCGGCTGTTTGCACCGCACGAAAACATCGTTTCCTCTGGTCGTTAACCAGGGAGTCAGTGGTGCGCGCACATAGCGAGGAGGCCTTATGACACTTTTACCTCTGTAGGGTTTAGTTTAAAGATTTGATCCGTACTTTAGTTCACGGATCATTGAAAGGGAAAATGACGATCTTTGGCCAGAGTTCTGAATTGTTAACGACGTTAAATACGCTTTAAATTTGTAACGGCACATTCGCGATATTCCAGGCCCAGCATTTGATACGACGCCAACGAAGGAAAATGGCGTGGACATGGATAGCCTGCTTGATCAAATCGACGTTTCAAACAATACGACAGCCTCAAGTAAGTCAAGAGATGGGAGCAGTTCTGCTGGGCACTTCCATCATTGAACATGTAGCGTGAAAATGAACACTGTAATTTGTTTCCTCGCCAGCCAAATCGGAGGACCCATAGTTCACTACCATAGTGTCCGTTACGCGATTGTCTGGCCCGGTCAAGGCTGCATCGACCATGCGATTGTCTGGCCCCTCCCAAGGCTGCATCGGCTGTGCGGTTCAATCAGAGATATCACATCATCAGGCGTACATCAAGCACATCGTGCGAGTCTGGAGCTCACTTGTTGCCCGGCCTGTTTCCAGATGCAGCTCCGCGGCCCCATTCCAAGGGGTGAGCATACCGCGCACGCGACACGTCGCCAACGATACCACGCACGCGGCGGGGACGCCGCAGCGACAGCTGACTGAACAGCATGCAGCAAATATGCCACAATGTGCCGATGGCATGCTTTGAGAACGTTCTTATGATATGCAAAGTGGACCATTGGAATGTGGATATCGATACTCAGCTAGGCCAGCGTTGCTTGCGTACCATTTGGCCATGCGGACATGGCACACATCCCGTTTCTCCAAAGGCTACCCTGCCCAATAGCGGCGAGACTTATCTGCAGTCTGATGTGTGGCATCTTCCTCCCTCTCTCTCGACGTGGTTGGGGTGGCGACCGCACTGACCCTCACCTCTCTGCCCTGTCGCCACAGCCGGTCGCCGGGGCTGCCGGACGAGCCGTCGCTGCTGGTGCCGGACATCAGTCAGCCGGCGCCGGCCGGGCACATGCGCGTCACCAAGTACCAGTACCGCAGCTCCAAGCAGCGCTCCGTCAGCCCGCAGCCGGCGCCGGCAGCGCCCCATCCCGACCTCACGCCTCGCGACATCCGCGACGTCCTGTCCAAGCCGTGGCCGGCGGTGCAGGCGCCGCCGGCGGTTGAAGACGCCGCCGGCGGTGCCGCCCAAGCCGCGGCCGACGCCGCGGGAGCCTGAGCTCACGCACATGACGGTGTGACGGAGCGCTCCAGCGGCGGCGTCCTCGCTGGACCGGGTGCCGGCGCCGCCGCCCGCAGCAGCCCGGCCACCAACACCACCATCAACTACCACATCTACAAACTATGGCGCCGGCGGCCCGGACGGCCCGCCGACCGCCCCCGACTCGGGCGTCAGCACCCTGGAGCGGTACGAGACCCGCCAGCAGAGCCCGCCGGGACCTCTCAGCCAGCCCTGGCCGCCGGCCGGCCCGGAGAGCACCGTCAGCAGCCTGCAGCGGTACGAGATGCGCCAGCAGAGCTCGACGGGCCCCGCCAGTCGGCCCTGGCCGCCTGCTGGGACCGAGAGCTGCGTCGAGCGACACGAGACGCGCTCGCAGGCGGCGCCGGCACCGCTGGGCCGGCCCGCCCTCGCCGTACGACAACGCCCTACCCGGGTCCGCAGGCGGAGCGGTACCACACTCGCACCGTCACCACGGAGATGGAGCGCACCCGCTCCGGGTACGACGGCGCCGGCGCCGAGACGACCAGGGAAGACGGAGCGCCGAGGCCGCTGGTGCCGTCCGGACCGCAGGTGGGGCTGGAGCCGGGGAAGGGATTCTGTTGCCGTTTTCTTTGGAACTGACTTATGCGGCACTAAAAGTGGGATATTTCGGTCGCGTGCTCACCAAGTGGTAGAGGTTTTATTGATTTTCGTAGGACTGGTGGTTAAGAGCATAATCGATTAACGCTGGATCCTAAATAAACAGACCGCGTGCAACCCAACTACGCCTAGCGCCTGTACAAATGTTTGCGAGGACGTGCTTGTATTTTGTCTACGGTGCTCTGAGTCACATCGAGCCTGATGTTGTGAGCCTCCTGCTGCCTTAACTAAACTAACCTGAAACTGTGGTAAACTCGACAGGGTCGTCTCGTCCAAACTGATTCAGCATATCAATTACACAAGCCCGTACATGCATTAAGTTGTGCGTCAGCTACCAGAGTTCATCACCACGTTTAAACAACAAGCTGCACCAGCTCCACTTTTTCAGAAGTTGCACTTGAGTCACGCAAATTGTAACATCGCGCCTGCTTTCAGTGAGTGATGCCCCGCTGTGGTCGTCATGACCGATACAGCAGCGCTGCTCTCCTGCAGCAGAGACTGACTGCCCAGACCATAGGCCTCAGTTAGTGGCACCCTGCTGCGGTTGACATGACAGACATAGCAGCGCTGCTCTCCTGCAGCAGAGCTGACTCCCCCGACCGCAACAGTTGCCAGGTCGGCACTATGTCTGACGGACGACCCCCCTCCCCTGGCGCTCCAGGACGGCACGTACGCGGACGGCCCGCGGCGCCGTGACGTCAGCTCGAGGTCAGTTCAGGTCACCGAGCCGGCCGGCAGCGGGCCGGACGCGGAGCGGCCCCAGGTGGCGCACTCGCAGGACCAGCAGCAGCGCGCTACGCCCGGCGTGTACTACCCGCCGGACGACGCCGACTGCGAGACCAAGGTACCTCCACTACGGAGAGCTCCGACCGAGCAGCGGCAGCGCTCGGAAACGCCAGTCACCGTCGCCATGGGGCATGCCTGTTTTTAAAACTGCCGCGTCTCACTAGCCAACGGAGTGCGCTCAACTGTCCGCTTTTTCTAGCTCTTCGCGGAGAAGCTGGGCAAAGCCTCCCCGTGATGGCATTGGAATGCGACGAGACGGACTTAATCAGAGTTGGAAGAGTGTGCTGTGCCCAGCCCGTTTTGCCTGCTGACCCGAGACTCGTCCCATTGTACCCAACCGCGTAATGGGGTCATGCATACATGCACAAATGCGCTGACTGTGCTTTTGTACCGGCATGACGTTCAGCGAGACAAGGACAGGGTTAGTTCAAAGCTCTCCTCTACCCTGGATGTATGTGGTAAAGTGTGTCTGCAGCGAAGCGGATATGGGTATAAGACCGGTGAGGGGGAGAGGGCCCCGCTCCGCCATTTGACATTTCTGCTTCTGGCTGTGCTGAACTCTTTTCGTCCGTCAATGACCATTATAGGGCTACGTGAATAGGGCTACAGGGATACATTTTGGGTAGCACTAACGTGTTTCAGGCAAAGAGGACGCCAGCCTTGGCTTGGAGCTGGCTACTAGTTGCACCGTTGCTAAGTATGGGGAATTTGCGTGCAAAAAGTTCCTCATTGGAGGCATTCCACTCATGGTTTCCACGTCAGAACACTATGAAAACACTATTGTCTACTTTAAGCGCAGAGGTAGGAGGTTGTAGCACCGACTCCCACTCCACCTAGAGGCCATTCGACGAGGCCCCTGCGAGTGTTCAGGAGTAAATCTAAGCGGGGGGGTGGCCGTGAGGTCAACTCAGGGCTGACAGTCAGCACATGCTCACGACTACAATACAGCGATGCCGGGTAAGGAGAGGACAGGGCAGTGGATGATACCTCATTCCCAGTCGTGTACCAACTTTCACTGGTGTGGCTTTTACCGTCACGATGCCTTTCAGTTCAAGACTAAAGAATCGCACAAGAACGGCAACACCAAGACGGGATTCAAGGCAAAGGGCAAGTACAAAGCACATGGAGGCTCCAAGCAGAAGGAAGCCAAGGGAGGCAAGACGATCCCCATTTGTCTCCCCCTGTGTGGCGGTGCGGCGTGCAGCATTATGTAGGGTGACATCTAGTGGTGACATTCAGAACTCGGCCGGGTGGTGCCATCTGTTGATTGAACTCGAACTACAGCTGCGCGTATCCCCGGCGTCAGCGTGTTTTGCTGGCGCCATGATCGAGTCGGACCGTACGAACGCGCTCAACGTGCAACTGCGATGACCAAAACGCTTTACGCCTGAGGGTTATGGAGGCATCGACGGCAGTGTTGAGCGTGGACGGGGGCATGTGAAGCACTCTGTGTTTTGAGGGCAAAACTGGTGCATTCATGTCACAATCTGTACGGATCGAATGCCGACACGTTGGCCGGAAGGATCGCCACGCAGTGTTTTGAGAATGAATGGCCCGTTCATGGCACTGGGCCTGCCCCCAAAGAAATTAATCTCGAAGTTGGTAGGCGGAACGTCACAGCATACTCCCTAACTCCGTTGGCAACGTTGTTGTCCGATTTTCTCTGTTGTGCTGTAAAGTTACCGATTTTAGGCCAAAACGCGGTCTAACTGAAGTTGCATACTGCATAGTGGCATTTCCATCATTACAGCGTTTTAGTGGACATGATAGAGAGGAAGACAACGCAAGAACAGAACGGCAAATTTAAGCGTTAGCGTTGTGTTACGACAGAAATCATGCTTTTTGGGTTCAGTTTTCTCCTTGCTCTGAGCGAATAGATGGGAAGCCTTTTGGGGCAGGGACAATCACTTAATGAGTGCGATCAGGAAAAAGTTTCGTTATAAATATCCAGCAGGAGGCGCATCGAAGCTAATTGCGAAATTATTTTGCAATGCGCCCTCTTGCCTTCTTGCCTGCCTGCGCTTTTACTGAGAAGACACCCAATCAACTCCTGGTAGAGTCAGGGCAAATGTTGACTGAGGGTGCCACAGAGTGTTGTTTGCAGACTGCTGTCATTTTTAACGTTGAGTGTTTGGTCTTGCCAAATGTTCTAGTCATCGTCTGACTCCGCACAGTGCATGAAGCTTGGAAAGAATGAATAACTCCCTGGACACGCGACAAAATGTGAATACAGATGTTTACCAGGGAGCGTTGAGGTTTTGTTTTAAGCAGCAGTGTTGAGCCGAGGGCAACTGAAGGGCCGAGGGCAACGCCCGCCAACGTAAGTGAAATATGTTAGTTCCCCTGCTTGTCCAGTGGTATGAAACTGCAACTGAGAGCGCTTGGAGCACTAACTCCACCTCTCTGTGAGCCCTCCGCCCGTAGACGTTGCTTTTGGGGCCCTACACTTTTGATGGGGCCCCATTTTTCAACCCTCTCGGGACACTCGATCGTTCGAGGTCTCCCACATTGGGTTTTAGGGTACTTACTATCTTAATGGAGGGCCCTATGCTCCGATCTGGGGCATTTGATAACCTGCTTGGGTGCAGTCAAACTTTCGGTGGGTCTCCACACTGGGTCATGGGTACTTCTTATTTGAATGGAGGGCCCTACGCTGTTGTCGGGGGCCCACCTGTTGAGCTGTTCGGGGCCGGTGGTGGATCCAGGGGACACGGGCCATGCCCCTCCCGTTCTGCCCCGAGGGGTCACAGGCTCCGAGAGACTCATAGCCTGCTGAACGGACGCAGTTTCCCGACACAAAATAACAAAATTGGACGTCTTTAGACTTCCAGACAACCAAGAAACGTCGCAAGCCCAAGTGAGAAGCTCATGCACAGACAGAGTCATTCTTCCCTGAATAATGTGACATGTTGCATGTGCATGCCCTGGTGATTGTGCATGTGCTTTGGTGTCTCTTGCTACACTGGCTTGCATGGTGGTTGCTTGCTGCATGCAGTCGTAGACGCTCTCGTTGCTTCATGTTGTATGCTCCTATGCTGGCTCCCAGGGCTGCACGCTGAGTATGGTTGGTTGCCAGGTAACGAGTCCTTTGCATGTGTTGCAGAACAAGTGTCAGGCTGGACGGTGTGCTACTTTCTGAATAAACCTCAGTTTGACAGTTGGCATAATAAGGGAGTGGTGCTTGGGGATATTTTGAGGCTCATCGCGCTGTCCAGAGGCCCTACGCAGTCGCCGGAGGCTCTGTATGTCCTAGATCCTCGACGGCATGGTGTGCCTCTGTCCAACGGCTCACGACGCGGCCAACAAGGGGATAATCCGCGTAAGCTGCGTGGCTACACAGAGCTGCATCATCACGGTGCTAAACAGGCGTGTCTCCTTGCGTACTGCACGGCGCAGCCCAGTCAAACCCACGTTGAAACTAGATGGTTATCTGGAAGGAAGATGGGTGAGGTGGGAAGTTGGTCAAACAATTCGCAGATGGGTGAATATTGTTTTTGTAGTTGTATTTTTTTTTGCAGGTCAGTGGCAACGATGTGCTTTGCCTTAAGATGCATTAGATCATTAGATTGTCAATCCAGTGGTTGCGACAAGAGCCGGTGTATTCATGCTTGCGTTATGGTATGAGGATTTCGACGGGTTTGCCCCACTATTTACGATGGTTGTTGATCTGAGGCTGATGAATGGGGGCGGCGGTGGCCCCTCTTACCTGCGCCCCCCCCCCCCGCCGGCGAGGCGCCACGGCCGCCGCCCGCCGACCGCAACAAGAGTCGGCGTGTCGTAGGGTGTCTGCGCTGTGCCTGGGACTGCGGGGCATAACGCATGGTCGGCGTGCGGCAGCCTGCGCTTCTGCCGCCGCGCGCGTGCGGTGCTAGGTGCTGCTGGACGCCGCCACGCACCGCCGGCGCCATTTGCGAGGCCCGCTGCGGGAGCCCGGGCGGATGCGCGTGGTCGTGCCTACACTGTATTGAAAGAACAGAGACTGGCACCGCTCACGAACAATGCTAGAGGAGCACCAATTCTTACAGCTAAGCTAGATGGTTAATTTAGCAACCCAATGATTGCAGGGGTTGCTAAATTGCAACAACAGGGGGAGGAATTACATTATCGCATGCTCAAGAATTAATCAGGCTTTGGAAATGATCGTCTTCAGTATACATGCACCGAATCTGGATGTTACGGAGTTTTTCCAGCCTAGTGAATAATTTTTGGACCCGATGGAAAATAACATTCCAGTTACGCTGGATGGGGATTGGCATTTGGTCCTTGATTATGACCAGAATGCAATTAATGATACGCCAACGGGGCCAACAGATTAAAGCAAGTAGTTTCTAAGCTGATTAAGACATGTTACACGGGTTACATTGAGGGCAGATCGATCGGAAAAATACTAGATCTATGTCACATTTAGTTCAATACCTTAAGCAGAATTGGAAGAATGCATTGTTTGTGAGGCCGCACATTGAGGAGGCGTTCAACTCCGTTAGTTAGAGGCTGGTCAAGGCCATTACGAGCCACTTTTTCACCAGAAGTCATCGACTAGTTTAGCATACTGCACGAGAGCTCGGTAGCAAACATTTTGCACGACGGTCATCTTACACGGCCCATTCGTCTGTCAAGGCCGTGCAAGCAAGGTGAATGAGTTGTTATTCATTTTTGCTGGTGATGGTATGCTTAGCGTCGCTTATTCAGAGCAATCCTAATGATATAGATAAGAGGAGTAAGAATAGAGAGTTTGAGTGCAAGTTATCGGGCCACTGCGATGATACACTTTGCATTCTGGACGCCTCAGTGAACAGTTGTACGACTCTTTTTGACGACCTTAGAGTTTGCACCAAATTATCGCAACTGGCAACAAATATGAATACAATAGAATAGAATAGAATAGAATATGAACACCAATAGAATACAAGCAATGTGGGTAGGAAATAACGCAAAGGAAGGGGGTCTAAATGCCGTGATTTGAAAATGCAGTGGGTGGAAAGAATGAAGGTGCTAAGGATGGTTTTCTAAAGCAACGATGAGATTGTATGCTCTAACCATCTTGGTACGAAGATTGGTGAAATGCGGCTCGTCAACAAAACTTGGGAGAAGAGGTATTGACACTGTACGGAAAAGTAACCGTTATAAAAAACATATCAAAACCAACATATATACACTTGTTGTCGCAGCACTGAACAGCCCAATTGTAGATTTTTACGTGGCATGAAATTTTTTGTCACGCTTCAAATGGGGCAAAATATGTATATATCATGCTTGCAAATTACAAATTTAGGGGCATGGACATAAATGGGAAAACAAGTGGACGAGAATGACATGGTGATGTTATTTGCTGGTGCTTTGTAATTTGGTGTTATTGATGCTTACCAGAATCTGTTTGAAGCTTCATTAATGGGAGTGTGTCTAATCAAGTTAGGATTTTTGACCGTGCACGTAGGATGGTGGGGATTTTGATTTACAAATTTTTGTGCCATTTTTGTCTACAAATCCGCCTCCACTGACGAGATATTGCTACGGCCGCTAAATTGTCTTCGGTTTGTATGGAAGAACGACGTCATCGGGTTGGCTCCAAGCAGTATTCAGTACTAAACACATCGATATCATTGAGAAGGTATCGTTAGCTCTAGCGAATGGCCTTTCGAGGATGCCGCTAGTCAGCGCTGACAGCAGCTGCGAGCGTGGCGATGGCGGCGGCCATAATGCGATGATTTTTTATATTCTGCTGAGGGCTGCGAGTGTACGGGTCTAAACGTAAGGGAAGGCGGGTCGGATAATGCGCACCAATTCAAGCTGGCCTACTATATACTGAAATGAGAAATAAGTATAGTGTTGCATCAATCGGCTGCACCGGACTCTTGGGGAATGTGAGTATTCTACGTTGCTTAGCAACCAAAATAATGGTCATCTCTCTAGCGCGCAGTTACTCGGCACATATAAGCCAGCGCATTCGTCCTTTCGTGCCCGCTAATTGATTTATATTGTATGATTGCTTTCCTTCATACACAGCCATCGATGGGATTGATAAAAATAAACAAACCAAAACTGTTTCAAGACCCAAATGTGCATTTAGCAGCCAAAATTAAACAGACAATTGCCAAACTCTCCTCAGCCGCCTATTGAGAAAACCAAAAACGTTAGACACACTCCCTTTAAGTTCATCATACAGGGTGCTACATCATAAGATGATAACAAGAACTCATGTATCAAACACAGGCTTCTGTGTCACAAGATAATTGTAGGAAGCAGTGATTGGGTGAATTACAGTAATGTTAGGGGGCCCATTTA